TTGCTTGAGTGTTTCTGCATTATATGAGTGGCTTTGGAATATAAATCGCAGCACGTTTCAGATGAAAAAACACGACTTCTATTTCTGAAAATATCACAGTTAGGAGATTTATAACGAGTGATTCCCTGCATTATTACAGCAAAGCACGTGATTACAGTACTAAGCCGCTGCAAAGGAGCAGCTCTAATGCTATTAAATTAAAGATGATGTACCATAGAGCAAAAAAGGAACAGTTAAAGTAACAAAAACTTGTAAAATACATTTTAATGGGCATAATTAAGTGTGAAAATAACCAAAGGATATACAGTCAAACCAAAACTTATTCAGAGACCAGATATCATTTTTGATATTTTTTTTACTAGTGGGTGCAGGACACTATAGTTCATTGATGTAAGTGAGGATAGCAAAATAAAGTAAACTGTGACAAATTATACCCAAAATGTCTTCATACAGTGGACTATCAGTAAAATTGATACAAATTTGGGACCAACATTTTTTCAGACCGAGTCTGGAAAAAAAAAATGAAGTTCAGGCTTGCAAGAAGTTGGGTGACAGCATGCCCAGGAGACTACAGGCTGTCATTAAGGCTAAGTATTGATAGTTGTGTAAATACTGTCATACTAACAGCTGTCTAATTTTTGGTTGATTGTAATCCATTAGGCTACATACCTTTCTATCAAAGTTATCTGACATTATCAAGCTGAATTTGTTCTGACACAGTTTAACTCTGAGTTCTTGTCATATTTTATTACCATTTTCTAAACTATAGCGAATAAACTGTGATAATGTGAGAAATGTTGAATTGGTATTGGGTATTGGGTAGGATTGGGATGTAGAATATGCTCATGCAGAATATGTGCTTTATAAGTACTCATAATCAGCCAATATGTTAATAATCTGTATTGTAATAAGCAACTAGTTAACAGTGAGAATTGGTCCCTATACTAAAGCGTTACCCAAATTTTTTTTTTAAAGAAATTATTTATTTTTAATCAGCAAGGATGCATTAAATTGATCAAAAGTGGCAGCAAAGACATATATAAAGTTATAAAATGTTTATATTTTAAATGCTGTTCTTTTGCACTTTATATTCGACAAAAGAATCTTGAAAACATATGTATCCCTGTTTCCATAAAAATGAACATTGATAAGAATAAGATATGTTACTCAAGCAGCAAATCAGCATATAAGAATGATTTCTGAAGGATCAATTACATTTAAAAAAAAAAAAAAAAAAAAAAAAAAACGGTTACTTTAAATTGTAATAATATCTCACAATTATATGTCAAGAAGTAAACAGGGCATGAAAAGGGAAAGAGTAGGAAGGAAAGAGCGACTGGTATGTTTGAAAGCTATAACAGGCCGCTCCACTGATGATGCTCTTTTGATTAGACTTAAAGGACTAAAAGAAAGACAAAAGTACACGCAGGTTCACCCAATGCCCCCTCCTCCGTCTCTATTATAGTGTCCTCTACCACCACTGTTTTACACTGATAATATCACCCTGTTCCTGCAACCAGTGCTGTTTCTGTCCTACTGCGATAATACTATATCTGCAAAAAGAGTGAGTGACTGTCGACGGAAGAACATTTTAGGTTTATCCCACTGGAAGTGAAAATTAAGAGAGGGATTAGCAGCAGTTTGGACGCTCTGAGATACTTTGAAAACGGTTACTTTAAATTGTAATAATATCTCACAATTATATGTCAAGAAGTAAACAGGGCATGAAAAGGGAAAGAGTAGGAAGGAAAGAGCGACTGGTATGTTTGAAAGCTATAACAGGCCGCTCCACTGATGATGCTCTTTTGATTAGACTTAAAGGACTAAAAGAAAGACAAAAGTACACGCAGGTTCACCCAATGCCCCCTCCTCCGTCTCTATTATAGTGTCCTCTACCACCACTGTTTTACACTGATAATATCACCCTGTTCCTGCAACCAGTGCTGTTTCTGTCCTACTGCGATAATACTATATCTGCAAAAAGAGTGAGTGACTGTCGACGGAAGAACATTTTAGGTTTATCCCACTGGAAGTGAAAATTAAGAGAGGGATTAGCAGCAGTTTGGACGCTCTGAGATACTTTGAACTGATTGTACATGCTGAGTTTGAAACTGACACCAGGGTTTTAGGCTTGTCTCTGCTCTCCCCATTCAAACTGAAACAAGGACATGACATGACAGAGCCATGTAGTGTGTGAGAATTTGCGAATATGTGTGTGTGCGTGTCACCTTATCGCTGTTGTAGTAAGTGAGATTTCCTCCTTCAAGCTTCACCCATCTTCTCTGAAAGACACAGTTCCTACAAGTACAAAATAAAGTGTCACATTGACAAAAGTCAAAACATATCATTATTCATGTTACAATATTAAACTGACATTTAGTGAGGGTTTATTATCAGGGCCATTTGAAACAAAATGAATACATTTGCATCAAGCAAAAGGAGTAAGAGGAAGAAAAACTAAAACAGGAAGGCCACTTTAACAAGTGGGTTTAGCATGTATGGAAACTGATACGAAAATAAAGTGTGAAATAGAGTGTAAGTTAATGCCCGCCTCTGCTGAAGCATTGTACACTTGCTTTCAAAAATGATTCATACACTACCATTTGGGGTCAGCAAGATTTGTTGATGTTTTTAAAAGAAGTCTCTTTTGCCCATCAAAACAATATTATATATATATATATATATATATATATATATATATATGTATATGTATTATATATATGAATATATATATATATATATTAAAATTGCATTTATTCTTGTGATGCAAAGTTGAATTTTCAGCAGCCATTATTTCAGTCTTCAATATCACATGACCCTTCAGAAATCATTCTGATGTGCTGATTTTGTGCTCAAGAAACATTTCTTATTATTATCAATGTTGAAAACAGCTGTTATGCTTAATATTTTTGAAGAAACTGTCATATATTTTTCAGGATTCTTTGATAAAAAGACCCCAAACTTTTGAACAAGGGGGAAATTTTATAACTAAAATCCAAGCTGTAAAATAGAAATGTAAATAAAAATAAAAGAGAAACCAGAAACAGCTCTGGTACCTTCATCTTAATCTATATTCATGTACTGCATAGTTTAATGACAAATTTTAATTCATTTTAAAAATCTAAGCAGAATAAGGCCACTTTGCAATTACAGACTCAACTTGTGATGTCAAGCTAATAAAGATAACAAAAATCCAACACAATTTGATTCTCTGAATTTCAATAAATAATTACATATCAAGCAGCAGCCAATGTTTGGATAACCGTTAGGTCATGTGGCCAGTAGGAGCACATTACTGCTCTTAGAACTGGAGCATTTAGTAATCAATGCTGCTAAATGTGAAATTTGAATTGTATCATGAGAATTACAGTGGATTCAAGCTCCAAAGGTTTGGGCACGTTGCGGTCAGGTCACTGCAGTGTGAAGTAAGGTTCCTGCTGTTGTGTGGCTTCAGAAGACTTAAAATATAGTGCATGAGTCATGCAGCTACTTTCATGGTCATGAGGTCATATGAACTGAATGGCAAAGAGCTGCATGAAGTGCATCTCCTGTGTTCAAAATATAAAATAACAGTGTATGGAGAACAACATTTTTGGGTGAACTATTCCTTAACATTTATGTGCTTTAGTACTTGACTTACAGTATTCTCAAAAATAATCCTTAAAAAAAAAAAGAGTATACACAAAGAGTGCAAAGCAGCAAACAGAGGCCTGCGTGTTCCTTACCCTTGAGGAGAGAGTTTGTCTAGCCAGCCTGCTTTGGAGGCAGCATTATGGGTCCCATAGAAGCAGGCATAGGGAGAAATGGAAACTTCTGTTAGAGAAGGAAGGTTTGGTCTCAGTAGGCCTGGTAGGTCATCTTGTGCCTTACTGTATATGTCCTTCACATCTGTTTGAGGCTTGGCCAAAGCTGATGGTCCAGTGCTCAAGAGAAGAGTAGGGTGTTTAAAAGAACATTCAGTAGCCAATCGCTGACCAAGCGTAGATTCTTGGACAGTGGAGTAATCATCATCATCATCATCATCATCATCATGTTGATGGGAAAGGTCTTGCTTCTTGTGATTGTGTGCTCTTTCTTGGTTTTGTGTCTGCTTGTTTCTAAAAAAAAATATTAAGTTGTAGTAAGGAAAAGGCTAAATAATAACACACAATAATTAGGTAGGTAACTTCATTTCATTTCCATTGCGTTACGTTCTTTGAAAGGATGACCATATTTAGCGAGAGGGACACTGTTCCTGAAGAAAATTAAAGAGAAAGTTTACCCAAAAATGAAAATTTTCATCATCATCATTTTCTCACCCTCATGTCATTTCAAACCTGTATGACTTTCTTTTAAAAAAGACAATATTTTGAGTAATGTCTAAGTATTTTTTTTTGTCCAAACTTTTTGGTTACCAACCCTACAGAAGAACGGAAGTTATACAGGTTTGCAAAATAATTTTATTTTAACTATCGCTTTAAGAATAAATAGAGGAAATGTAAAGAATATTTGATAATGAACACTTTCATCAATGAAAATTAATTCACATCCAAGGTGCTGATGCTGATTGGCCATTACACCTGGCCATCATATCCTACAAACCACAATATTGTCTACAGAGATCCTCCGAGTACCACAGTGGGCATATGAAAATCTACAAACTGTGCTAAAATCACTGAAATCATCAAGAATTAGAGGACTTCACGTACAAGTTAATTATTTTAGAATTAGGTTGTTAAAAAACAGGCTAAAGGACAATGAAGTTTTCCAAACTGTTCACCTTAACTTCTGTTGATCCAGGTTCTCTTTTACTCCTTGACTGGACATAACATCGTTGCCCCCATCCTGAAAAACAAAAGCAATCAAGATGAAACTAAAAGCAAGTCTATTTTCTAAATTCTGTTTTCAAATACCGTTCACCATTGTTATGAATGTCTTACGGCATTTTCAAGACCTGTAGACTAAAGGGACTTAATCGTACCATAATGTGTTATGTAGCGAATCAGCTCATGGGGAAATATGAATAATTAAGCATAACTAGTTATAATTAACTATTCATATTTTAGATCCGCTGTAGATATTTAGCTGACCTCTCAGGGTCAACTGTCTTGTCAATTCCAAGAACGTTAATTTCCTGGTTAAGGGAAATAACTTTCTTACTGTACAATTCTACAAGCTTGTAACGTAAATCTGCATGATTAGTGACTCCGGTTATGAGCAAACAATGAACACGTCAAGTGTGATACAAGTAAGGTTTTATTAACTACATAAACACTTAAACTAGTCTAACATACACATACACACACACACACACATACAGTTGGTATAGGAAAGGGTTAAAGTTTAACTCAGCATAGAAAGAGGCATAAAGAATGAATTTTATGGAACATGCATATTCAACAGATCTAAAGCCTGAGGGAAAACGTCAGATTCTTAGTTCAAACAAACCTTGTAAAAAGGTGTAACTGATACTTAATATATCAATTAATAAGACTAAGTTTGATACTTAGCGAGTCTCGGAGGTCTGAAAGAGATTCCTGATGCAAATCTTAAAGCTTCCCGTTGATCTTTGCTGAATTCGGGTCGATGAAAAGAACCAGTTTGAGTCAGAGAATCTTTGGTGAATGGAAAAGTCAAGGCCGAAAGGCCTGGCAC